ACTATGGCTGGGGACTGGTCCATGGCTGGCAATATTCCAACCATGGACAGTATGGATACGCAGACGCCAGTTCTTCCGATCTTTGGCTTCTTCAATAGTACGACATGGTAGGGTTTGCATTTTTGGGCAATGCGCGGCAAGACTATGGGTATTTGGGAGTTATGAGCTTAACAATGAATAATATTTATCTGTTATCCGATTACTAGAAACTCGAGCGCCTTCATACTTCACCTGTCAATCAAGTTCACAAAATCTTGAGGAAGAGGCTTGTCCTCAACCCAAGCTATGATACCCTCGGCAAACAATTCTGGAAATTGTAAATTCCAGGCATGAATAGCCCCCTTGATAAGAACGGCGGTACTCTTTTTCCCATCCCCGCGCCCTTCATTGCGAAACGTCAGAGCCATTTCCTTCGCACCATCAAAGTCATCACCTTGATCTCCAGCGGCGGCCAATATCCGCTTGTCCTTCTCAGCAACTGCCTTAACATCTTCGTGCTGCCACTTAGCAAGCCTGGCGTAAGCGTCATTGACCAAGCTCCAATCATTATTGGCAGCGATTTCGTTCTTTAGCTGGGTATGATCCTTGAGACCCTTCATCCACACGCTGAGAGTATAAAAGCCGCTGTTGAGAACGAGTTTGAGACCGTAGTGTAGGAGGCTGGGTCTTTCTGCTGCCCAGACTTGCCATGACCGGAACGGTGTTGAGCCAGTGACGAAAGCCGATTTAACGAGGTCTGGATGTCGGCGGATTAATTCCATCGTGGTGAAGCCGCCCAGTGAAAGGCCAATAACGTGCGCTTGTCCATCGTGGGCATGCTTTCGGATAAGATGCGCGACCGAGTCCGCGGCGAATTCAATTGACCATGGCCCTATGTCTCTCGACTGGGAGTGTTTTGGGAGATCTGGGACCAGGAGATGATAATCGCTGAGGTGGGGAATAACGTGCTCCCATTCGAGGTTGCAGCTGAAGAGGCCATGGAGCAGAACGATTGTCGTTGACGACGTGTCATTGTACGACCTGAAGAAAAGGTCTTGGAGGGGTTGAGATGCTTGCGACATGGTTGCAAAGATGAACTATGAAGAGCAGATTATCTGCAGAGTGTTATTCTGCCAGATCACGGCGGTTGCTAGGACTTCAGTTGAGCTGCGCCACTGAAATGAGTCGGCTAAGATTTATCCGAACATGGCATCACGCTTACTCTGACCTAGACAAGTTTGCCTGGGCATAACTAGCGCAAAACGACCCTGGATGAGAATGAATCTGCAGGTACCAAAGATAATAAACTGTTGACTCTAATTATAACCGCGGGAGGACGAATGTTGGTCCATGATCTGAAACTACAGGGGGTTGGCCGATGGTAACTCATTTAGACACTGTGGCCTCAGCACTGCCAGCAGCATATCATATCTTGAAGGATTTATGGAGGGTCGCTTGCGCGTCTTCGCGTTTACCAGCTTTCAGCTAATTAAGATCATCCGATCCATCTTCGCACCGCCCAAAGAAACTATTTCCATTCTCTGTTTAACTTGTTTATTTTTGCAATGCAATTACTCACTGTGTCTTTTTGACAATGCAGCGTCGTACAAGTCGCAGTCAAGAACCAGGCTACGAGATGGCTCCAGCGCCTAAACCCACTGAAACAACGCTGCAAAACAAAGGATCGACGCCAATTCTCCACAATGCGGCGGCCTCCCCTGAAGCAGATCCGGAGGAAAACAACGACGATAAGAAATATCTGACGGGTTGGAAGCTTCATTCTTTGAGCGCAGCGTAAGTAAATTACGAAAACTGATATTCATGCGATTTGAAGCTTATCGTACTAGACTCTGGATCAGTCTCTTCTTATCAACGCTCGAGACCACCATCGTCAGCACATCCTTGGTCTCCATCACAAATGCCCTCAATGGATTCATTCTTCGCGATTGGATCGTCACATCATATTTGTTGACATACACTGGTGAGCACATTGCCTCTTTCCCATGGAAAACATTTTGCTGACGGCTGTAGGTTTCTTGACTATCTACGCCAAGCTTAGCGATGTTTTCGGGAAGAAGACAATGCTTTTGCTTGCGCTACTCATTTTCACTTTGTTTTCTGGTCTTTGTGGTGCCGCAAACAATGTCGTTGACCTGTAGGCAATATGAACGTCCAGTCAGACGCCTTGCTAACAGCCTCCAGCATCATTCTTCGAGCGTTCCAAGGCATTGGCGCATCCGGTATCTACGCCATGATCCTAGCGATCGCTCCAAGCTTGGTACCTATCAGCAAATACGCAAAGTACATGGGCGTCATGTCAACAGTCTTCATCACCGCAAGCGTTCTGGGTCCTATTCTTGGTGGTGTCATCAGCCAGCACTCAACCTGGCGCTGGGTCTTTCTTCTCAAGTATGACTCGGCCTCTACGCTCAATCGTAACAGCTGACACAAGATCTTAGTCTTCCTGGGGGAGCCATCGCCTTTGTCATGGTTTGCCTCTTTCTGCCGGCTTCCGAAGAGTCATCTAATCTCTCACTTCTGAAAGTACTGCGGGCAAAGGTCCGACGCTCGAACTGGGTCCGCATTGATGTCCTCGGTATAATTCTTCTCCTTGCAGCCTCTGTTCTCCTCGTGTTCGCACTTGAGGAGGGAGGTACTCGATACTCATGGAGTAATGCGATTGTGATAGCCACATTGGTTCTGGCAGTTGTACTCTTCATCGCCTTTGGGGTCTGGGAAGTCTACGTTGAAAAGTCGCCAGGCAAGCAAGAGCCCGTGTTTCCGCCGAGTATTTGCAAGAATAGGATCTCAAGCGCCATGCTACTGTAAGTCATGCACCCTTCGACCTCTCCCCACGCACTGACTGATCGCACAGAACTACCTGCTTCGTTGGCTTCCCTTTCGTCTCGATGGTCGTCAACATTCCGCAAAGAGCGCAAGCAGTTTACGGAATGTCACCGTCTCGCGCTGGCATCATCCTACTACCTATGATGCTGACTTCTCCTGCCGCAACTGTCCTGTCGGGTTACTTGACTGGAAACGCCAAGGTGCCGCCCGCATATCTGATAATAATCGCCGCGGTGCTACAAGTTTTAGGTGTTGGCTTGACATGCTCACTGTCTACAGATGCAACTCACATGCCAGATGCTCAGTACGGATATGAGGTGCTGATGGGAGTTGGGTTCGGTATGAGTCTGGCTACCGTCTTAACCTTTGCTAGGGTGGTGGTTTCTGAAGCAAATCTGCGTAGGTGGCCTTTTTCCTGTGAGACTTGGCAGTGCTAACTAAGTATATAAAGCTGTTATGATGGGTGCACTGACGCAGATCCGTGTACTTGGTGGCACAGTCTCACTCGCAATTTGGTAATTTCCACGCGTCACGTCTTTGCTAAACATGAATTACTGACAGGCTCGTAGCGCTACGCTTCTCAACAATCATCTCAAACCGAAGCTGGGCGATCTTGTCTCTTCGGAGCAGGCAGCGGCTATCCTTGACTCCGTATCCGCAATAAATGATCTAGAACGGTCCCAGCAGCTGGCTGTGAGAAAAGTATTTGCCGAGGGCTATAATCTGCAGAATATCTTTATGACAGCCATGTCTGCTGCCGGTTTGATCGCTTCTCTATTCTTGTTGGAGAGTCATCCACGTATCGCAAAGTAGACTGCCAGAAGCTTCCATCTCTCGTAGCGGGATCTTTTCATAGACACGTAGTTTACACAATGATTTTACCAATAGATTGTATCTTGGGTCGTGAAGATGTACGAACCTTACATTAATATATAGAAGTACCTAATACTATGATATTCTTGCTTGCTTAAAGCTCGGTCGGCAGCACTGCAAGAACATGGAAAAAGAGATAGACACTGGGTGGAAGAGTAAAGGAGAGGTGCAACGCGTGTTTGTGCACCCCCCTACACTCAGGCCTTGGCAATTACATGTACTAATCAGCTTTATCTCGTAAATGCATATTTGATTATGCCCATTTCAGGCATTACCGAAGCAACGCCAGCTGACAGCCTACGTCTGACTGCCCCGCCCTAATTATCTCCTAGGACTTCATTCACCATTTGCTGCTTCCAGAAGAACCGCAAAATGACAGACATCGTCGCTGACAACGTCATAGAATGTTTTATCGCTTTTGGTAATGTTATAGACGCCTTATCGAGACGTGTTGGGTTGTTCTCACCGTTTGAGCATCACATCAGGAACGAGCAAGTGCGATTCAGAAGTTGACATGGCACCCCTGATCACCGCTTTTCAGAAACGAGCTCAACAACGATTCCGAGTTACATATCACAGAATCGGGAAGACAACCTTCGTGACTTGGTCGGGCTCCTCAGATACGCACTCTATGCTATAAAAAAAGAAAGGAATTCTTCGAACCAGCTTTCCAGCTGCGAAAATGCCATCGATATTGAGGGCTGCGACGAAAATCCTTATATGATAGAAGATCTGGTTCTGATATCCACAGACATCAGTCACTCTATCAGTTCCCTGTTGAAGGACGCATCAGCTCACGACGACGAACTATGTTACAGTGGCTCTCGAGATGTTGGAGGAAAAAGGTCAAGATCGCCGGACAGTTGTGCTGACGATGATGGCGAAGGTTCCTGTAGGAACGATGGGAATGATTCTTTTCTGCCAGACTGCGGTATTGAGCGAGAAACCATTACTAAAGACATATGCCACTACTTCGGGGGTAACCCCTCTGTGAGACTTGGCTACTGCGAGGTATGTTGAAATATGGACGTCCCTAAATATATGCTACGGCCATTCCGTAAGTATGTTACTGACTGTAGCCTCTCAAATTATGCAGGATATAAAAACAGGAAGGTGTATACGAGGATGTTTCATTAGATCCCAGAGCAAGTTAACTTTGGTAAAGTTCCCGTTCCTATGGTGATTGATGGTTGTTTTATCGCAACATCTAACTTAATTTCTTAGGCTATGGGAGAAGACTGCAGGATGACTCGATGAGATGGGAAAAATTGAAGAATGTAGCAAAGAAATCGGTAGAGGGAATGACAATAACGAGAAGTGGCGCAGATCCCGGCACCACTGTGATTCAACAAATCCTAGAGATATCTCAACCACCGCGCTACGGTCGCGGTAAAGGAAGCAACCAAGATGAAATGGAAATTCTTCCTGGTGAAGCTAGACAGGGCCACAAGGCATCAAGAGCTGAGCTACAGCTAGATCTGCGCCAGGAGTCTATAACCAAAAACCCATCAGCCACCACTTCGCCAAATACAGGCTTTTCTTCGTCCTCCGCTTTGACTGCTCCCGCAAGAGCCATCAAAATGGCCTCGAATGTTCAAGCAAAAGTCAATTCACCTGTTGAGGTTTCAAATACAACAGCAGCTTGGATATTCGGAGCAGTAGCGGCTATCACCAACGGGGTGACGGCGTTGGCGACGCGACAAACGGCCAAGGCAAGCAAAAGAAGCGCTATTGCGGGTGAGGTGGCGGCCAATGCGAGTAAGAGAAGTGCCAAAGCAGCAGAGGAAACCTGTTTGATCGCTCAGAAACATTTTGAGGCGACCGTCAAAGACAAGCAAGACCGGCCGCCTACGCCGGATACATCGCAGAATGTTTCCGGCACAGAGGCAGAGACTTCAAGTAGTAAACAACAAAAGCCAGACACGAGATCAAGAACGGTAGTTCCTCATAGCAGTGGGATGGATTCGCAATTGAATGTTCCGCCAGCCATACTGTCACCCGAACTGCCCAAAACCCTTTCCGGACGAGGACGAGTGCGAAGAACTATGTCAAACCCGACGCTTGGAAGACGGGAAAAAATTGATATATCACTCGATCTGTCGAGTGTAATGGCGGAACCGATAATAGTCTGGCCGGAGGTTCCAACGTGTGAGTTTGGAAAGCCATGTAACTGTAAGATTGTTCCTAAGAATTGAGGAAGATAAGAATATATACCTTATAATAATATTGATTCAAATATTAGATACACAGGCTAGCCCGTGTTTGTTGCATTTCGTTTTCTTGCCCTTTCCCCCGGACTATCTTTTTGTCGCATTTCTGGTACTCCATCCACCCATTTCACCCAAGACTTCCACCAACGCATAGGAATTGAATGCCCCTCCCCCCAGAGCTTGATTCGCGAACATGTCCCCAGGCAACGCTTAGCATCAACCCTCTTATCAAAATCCACAAAGATTTCCTCCAGAATTACCCTCATCAAACCTCCTAGCTCAGACTCACTGTTAATGCTTTCAACCGTCCGTCTCACTTCTTTCTGCCAGTTTGCATACCATTCGTCCCTTTCAGAGTCGCATTTGGGCTTGGGGTACTTTCTTTTATCAAGCCCGTACATCTTCTCAAGCATAATAATGCCCGTTGACCACACATCAGACCTGTCATCGACTACATCGGAGTACTTGGTTCGTGATGAAATGGCGCATTTTCAGGGAGTCGAAAGGCTCTTGCTGCGTTTGGTTCCAATGGGAAGAGGACAGCAAGAATATCCGAGTCCATTATTATGTGAACAAATTGCCGGGTGCGTCTCGAACGTCGGGACAAGAAGGCTAATGTATAGGTATGATGAGAATTCAGAGAATTCACCAGAGAACCGGCATAAAGCATTCATGTGATGGGGGCTGAAACTGGAGAAGAGATGAGACCTGTTGCGATTAGCCTGGAAAAGGATCACAACGCCGTGAACGCATGAAATTACAAACATTGTACCACCTTACAGATATCATCAGGGACATCTATTGGTTGAAAATGGTGGGATGAAAATAAATCGTAGGGCATGGTCCAATGGATTAAGCCACATAAGCTGACATGCATCAAAAGTCTTTTCAGTCTCACAAAGTCCGTAACAAAAATAAAGAATATTCCTCTACAGTTGACAGATACGTTGGTACTGTTAAGCGCCGTGCTAGACGTCCTGGCACATATTTTAGATTTTGCAAGTCTGTTTTCCATCACCAGTGTTAAATTCTCAAGATAGCTATTTACGGGTATAACTAACGATTCAAAGAAGATCACTTGTCTTTCGGTTTCTTTGGTCACCTTTTCGATGTATCTTCTTCATCCTGAGTAGTTGTTTCTTCTCCCTGAGTAGTTTCTTCTTCAGGTTCAGGTTGTTGGTTTGCCGCCTGACCCGTGTTTAGGTTTCTCTCGGTCGACCTTGACTGCGGTATTATGACCTTCTTCCTTTTTATACTCATTATGAACTATGGCTGTTAGCGCATTATTGAGACATTGGCGTTATTACTAACCATCGAGAGGTAGATAGACTTGATTTGCCAAGGGAAGAAGGTTGCTGAGCTACTTCTTGAGAAGTTAAATAGAAGTTTTAATGAAACATGGAGTTGAACTGAGAAATGAGTCTTTATGTGGGCTCCGAGTTGAAGAATAGCCTAGACGAGTTGGAACTCCTGAGCCTCAAACAGCCCCTCTCTCATGCAGGACAATCCAAGTCCAGTCATCAGGGAATCAACATATGCAGCACACACCACCACGCGTTGCGAACCTATTGGCAGCAGAATTAGTGGCGTGCCACAGCCTCCAAGGAGGCACACAAGATCAGATTCTTGGATCACTTTGGCCTCGCCTATTCCGATCTCATAGTTGAGCTGTACTTTGCCCAAGTTGGCTGGCTTGACCACGAACATTGAGCGATCCACCAATGCTGATGCCATAGTTCTATATCTGTAACCGAACCCCTTCATGGAGATCTCATCAGTTTGACTTGGGGCTTGTTCATTGTCTGAAGATTCCAGTGGCAGTCCATTGAAAAGTTCTGGAAATGAATCATCGACTTTGTGACTAAGAAGACCAAGAGAGCATGTCCGGCGAAACGGTTCACACGAAAGCCGATTCGGCAGTGCTAATACTGACAGTTCCTTGAAAACTGGGGGAAGTTGGTGGTATAAGCTTAGGTATTCGAGGTTCGCAGTTTGGGCTTCGTCTCCCATCCGCTCGGCGTCGATATTGATCAACGGGTCTCTCAATGCTACTACTGTACCAAAACAAATCCCCGAAGCAAGTAGTATCTCTTTTCCGCAACTTTGTTGAAAGCTGGCTCGAGCTACTGAGGTACCCATGGCTCGTTGCTGGTCATAAGAGATTGGTCGATCCGCTATGATAGGTGTTTGTACATCCCCCAATTCGGAACCCATGATGGTAGATCCCACGAGCCAGTTCTGTCTGCCGCACTGACATAGGAAAGGACTTCGAGAGAAGAACTAGTCTCGATAATTTCTTTGACTGCGTCTGTGTAGACTCTAGAGGTCGATCTCATCTAATCGATTTTGAGTCGTTCGGAACGGCTGTCTTTCATGTCAGAGGCCGCCAAGATGAAAAACACTTTGTCCCTCGGATCTGTGCATAGTCTCGACCAGCTATGTCTCAAGAGGCTAAGTAGAGGCGAAGAGTCTCGAGACCTAGGAGTTCGCAAAGCTAACGTTGCCCAGTTGGGAGAACTTATTGCCAACTCTGAAGGCGACATCTCGGGGAAACAGAGAATGCCGCGATACACTAATACAGACAAGAAGGAATTCAGGCCTATCATAGCTCGAAGTCTCCGTGCTTGATACTTCTTCTTCATGACAATCTTTATCCTGGGGTCTTGAAGTATTTCCATGACAGCTTCGATATCCCCTTCTGAAATGCAAAGCGCACCCGATTGTAATTTCCAAACTCGGGCCAAGCTGACTTCCCGGATAATCCAAGCTCTTCGCCAATAAGGCGGACGGTACTTTCGCTCGCCAATGACAAGTTGAAGAGAATAGAGACCATCTTCGAATACTTCTTCAAGGTGCTCTTTTCTCGGGCTGTCCAATAAGAGTGTGAATAGTTCGTCTGTCGAGCATGACCCGACCAATTCGATCAATGACCTTGCCTTTTTCATTTGTTCAACGTAGTCAATGGGACCATCCATAAGTCCAAGCCATGAAATGACACACGAGGCAGAGGAATAGATGTAACCCATCAAACTAACTTGCGAATTTCGCTCATCTACATCGGATTGATTTATGCAAATGGCGTCAATCCAAAGACAACGCGGCTTTGACTCGTGTCTCAGATAAGTCAGGGCTTCTTTCAAGTTTTTGGTAACTTGTAGCGTCGTTTCGTTTATTCTTATCGTCGCCTTATTCTCGGAGCTACCCCAAGCGTAGGAAAGGGCTTCGTAGTTGATCTTGTCTTCCAGAAGGTGAAGAGTTTCCAGCTTGCAGTTGACCCTAGTGCCATGGCTCTTTGGTAGCAGTATGCAAACTCTGATTTCAGAGTGCTTTTTATCTGAAGAGGATGGTAAAGGCTCATTATTACGATATTGAAAGTTGAGACTTGACGACGGAAGCTGTGATGCGATCGTTTGCTTTTATAACCTTGATGAGATTTGTATCTTAGAATGCTGTGGTAAGGCGGTTGCATTACGACCGGGTTGGGCTGTGAAATAACCTGAGACACCGTTTTGTGGAGGCTGAGCGTTGGAATTCATGCCCAAAGCAGACTAACTGGGTTGACCTTGTGCAGCCAGTGGGTGATCAAGATAGAACGACATAACGAGTTTATACTTAAAGAGACGTTGTAGCCTTTATAAAACATTAATACTATATTAAATAGTTTTTTTTAATATTATCCTAAACTACCTGGTGCATAGAAAATGGATCCTCAGAGTCGCTGGATAAACTATGTCTCTGTTTGTCCTTTCCTTGTATCACCACACGGTGTGTTCCTGGACCATGTCCTGGCTGCGGCCGGCTTCTCTTTTGGTCGACATCGGTACGCACTACAATTGTTGACTCCAAGGGACGTAGCTGATCCTTACTCTCAGACGAATGAAGCGTCCTGGGCAGATCATGCATTTCATGGCTCCGAGAGGTACCTGTTTGGCGAGCAGTGCCAGTGGTCCTCGAGTTCTCATGTCTCGCATATTCGGATTGGTTATGGCTAGAACCGCGGTCATGGCCTGATAACAGAGGCCGGAGAGTTGGAACACAAGCGCAGATGATACCACAGCACAACTCGCTGACTGACCAAGACGCTGATTCGACATTATGCCATGTGATATCCGTGCCAATGTTGAGGAACTTGATACGAACGAGTGAGATAAGGCACGTGCTATTTCGTGTTAGCTGCACATGAAAAGCTCACATCTAGAGGAAACTCACAATATACCGAGGCAAAAGACGGACATAAGAATCCACTTTTGTCGCCGACCGAGCTTCAGACTGCGAAGAACGGGAATCGGAAGGACCATGATTAAGATATCGGTCAAAATATTGCCCGCTGCGCCGACATAGAATGAAGATTTGTTGAGAATACAGCTGCCCTTGATCGTGACATCCCAGAAAGATGCGATAGGCACGCACATAAAAACGTTGAGAAAGATTTGAGAAAGACTCCAGCAGGTGACGAGGATTACAGAGGCGATGTATGTCTTCTTATACTGGCGTACAGGGATAGCTCGGTAGTACTGGAGGAGAAAGATTGTCTTGATGACTGCTAGGGCGAGGTTGTAGACGACGGTTGAGTAGTAAAACATCTGGTTGGTTTAGTTAGGTTGCTAACAGGGTACAAGTCAAACCTACCCTCAAGAAATTACTAATCTGTTCGCCGGAAAGTGTAGATATATGAGAGCCAAGGCCATTTCTAACGTCTGTGGTATGTTAGTAAACTATAGACGAAAATTTTATTTTGATAGGGCTCTTTTACTAGTTGCTATGATAGTAGCATCAGCGATCGTCAACAACTATTGTTATTAGCAAGGAGACTTTTCAAGATTGAATGTGACACTCACGCAAGCAAGGATTGCACATGCGTCATCGACGCCAAAGTTTCTCAGCATGATGGCCCGGGCGTAAACTCGCAGGGATACCACGATAAGAGAGACCGATGACAGGGTCGCCATAACAGCTATAGCGACCGCACCTCTAGACTCGGACGCATAATCTGAAGAAGCCATGGCCAAAGACGTCTTGTACGAAGGAGTGATTACAAGCACAAGATGGAGCACTCACCAAACTGTAGAACAGCGGCTTGGCAGAGATTTAAGTCTGTAGAAGACACAACCGACGCGAGAAAGTGGCTAAAGGACTAAAGAGTCGAGAATCGATCCAGATCAAACCATGAAATTGTGGGCTGCTTACTTGACGCCATTTCGTCCCAAGTTATGAGCGATCGGAACATGCTGCCGTCAGCTAGAGCAATCGGTAGCCGAAAACAGCCATGTGGCTTTGGGAGGAGAGTGATAAGGTTCGTTAGCCAGGGAGCAAGTGGCTGTTAGGTTTACAAGCGGCGAATCAAGATGGAGAGCGGGTTCGTCTCACAATTTCAATTATGGGCCTGTTCCGAGTGACTGGATTTCGAGTCACTGAGTCAGTAATGGACGATTAATGCGCACAGACGCTAGTACGGGGAAGAAATCCGCGGGCTCGAGGCTTGCGGACTTAGGGTGAAACCCCAGACTTGGCTTTTCCTTAACCCAAAGGAGCTGTTATAAGCTACAGCAGTTGGGCGCCGTGAATGAAAGAACAGGGAGGGGGAGAAAGTTCAGTAGTTCAGGAGAAAGGCCGTGTGTTGAGCTACTTTATAATGCAAGGGACTGCCCAACTTTGGCATTGCTGCTTGTTTCAGTAGTTCTGGGGGCCAGCTGTAGTATCTCTGCTTGGTATGCCAATACCAGTAGTGATTGCGGAACGGTTCTTGACATGATGAAATGACCCGAGGACAATCTAAGGTGACCAAGACTAGCCTCAAAAGCCGATGGAAATATCGCAGCGAGCACTAGCAGATCAAAGATCGATACATCTCACAGAATGCTGATGTTTACTATTTATTTACTGGTTCTTTGGAGCTGGGAAGACTTTACACGGATTTGGGGAAGCTCTGAGAGTTCGGAACCAATATACCGACAACCCAATACTGAACAGCATCATTTCCCTTTCCAGGCACTCTCCATGACCTCCAAAGGCGTTGTAACCTTCAAGTCCGGAAACTTGTCGTCCAGTGGGGGGAGATCTCGAGGCACGAGATACCGGCCAATGCCAGCTTGATAATGAATCATAGCGAAGAATGCCTCATCGCCTTCACCGTGGCCAATCGAAGGATAATCAGGAAAGAATGAAATCTTACCAGAATTCAACTTCTCCAGGCTATCAACCGCAACGTCAAATTTGGTGCCTATTCATGATTAGTAACTGGTAGCTGATAACGATGGACATGCTCTTACCTCTGGCCTTCTCCGCAGCCGCTACCAATTCGTTGAATGTCAAGGTGTTGGCCTGAATGGCGCTGATGGCATCCCACTTCTCAAGATCCATCAAGCGCGCAACGAATCGAGACATATCCTGAGATGTGAGGAAGCTGGCCTGGATATTTCCATCAGCTGGAATGACGGCCCATTTGCTTTTCATGTTGATGATGTTGATCCATGGCTCGAGATTACACTTCCAGTGAGGCATTCCGTAGTAGTCAAGAAACCACCCATTAGCGATGCGTGTATAGATGAGGTTGGTCTTTTCCAGCTCACTTATCGCCTCAAAGGTGTATCTGGTCAATGGTGAGAGTTCGATATCCCTATACCGATGGTCAGCCACGCTCGAATAGTCCCATTGTTACTTACTCTTTAACATGTAGCATATCGAAACTACTAATGACGAAGCGCTCGGTGGTTGAAGACCGTTCAGCGGCCTGGATTAGATTCTTCTGTGCCTGGTTTGCCTCTGGTGATACGACACTAATAGCGCAAATGAGAATGTTGACTCCTGCAGCCTCTAGGGCTTTCGTGATAGCATGAGGATCATTATAATCCACTTTTAGGTAATTCACAGCGCCCTGAGGCGGTCGTTCCTATTGCTGGTCAATATCAAGCCACCAAGTAGACCAATCTCAAGAGATTTGCTTACTTTTCTGGACAGAGCATACACTTTATGCTTCCCATACTCTACGAGACCATCAACGATGGTGCTACCCACGCTTCCAGTTCCCCCAGCGACTGCAACAACTTTCATGTTAATATGTCACGGTTCGGTAGAGACCTGGGCAAGTCTGTAATGGAAAGTAATGAATGATCTTGCAGGCAAGGAGAGTTCTGAATGAAGAATCTCTCACGCTCGGAAACCAGCTGACTTTTTGCATGATAAGCCTGTTTTTATAGAGGGGTAAAGTAAGCAGG